ATGGATTTCAACAATGAAAACGTTATCGTAAAATATAGACCTAAAAAATTCAGTTACTTAAATTTTTCATAAATATAGTTTTAAAATCTGAAAAACATGCTTTCATAGCATATTAAACTAAAAAGTAAAAAATACATTTAGTTTAGAAAAACTAAAAAACACGCTTTTGAAGGAAAACGAACTGAAAAGTTAAAAATATTTTTTTTATAAGCTTATAACAATAACGATCGAAAAATACTAGTGTTATTGTGAAAAAATATGGCGCTTTGTGCCATATTTTTTGTATATCTAGCGCCCACGGTTTTTTCACAATAATACTAATTTTTGGATCGTTATTGTTCTAAGCTTATTTAAAAGAAATATTTTTAACTTTTTAGTTCGATGTTCTTCACAAGCGTGTCTTTTAGTTTTTTTAAACTATATTTATTATTAACTTTGGTCACAGCTTTTTGGAGGAACTGAATTCAGTATTATGGTATTTATGAACAAAAATATCCCTAATGAATGTTATTGACTTTCGACTACTAAAAATTGTCGTAGTATCCTTCAAAATATGGAAGAAATATTTTGAATTCGAATGCTTTGTTTCTAGGTTCTAGTTCCGGCCAGAAAAAGGAAACAATGCTATAAGCATATCTGAATTTACGAAATAGCTACTCGTTTAAACTCTGCTATTCAATATTTTATTGTTGTGAACGAAGGAGCAGACTCATCCAGAGTAGAAACCAATTCAGATTTTCTATTGGTTGGGCTAAGGCATTTCAAATTAAAGTATTGTACGATGAATGACCAAATTTCTCCAATTTCACAAATTCACAAAAAACGTTCGCTGGTGATGGCTGCCAAACGAACGCAGTGTTTTCAAACTTGAAACATATCAATTGTATGTTTTGTAATACAGTAATATTTTTCAAACAACTATCGCCATCTCTATATCAGGCCGGGTACTTCTGGGACTACCCTGGTAATCCATCATATTTTCATTTTCCGTCACTCTGTCTTTCGACTCACCCATCACTTGTTGATGTATAATAATTTCTCGAAGAGTGTTGGACAACCAGAAAGACAGTATGATATAGAGAGGAAGTCTGGGATTCACGAAATATTAGCTAAAGGATTGGGACAAAAAAGACGTTGGTCAAACCGAACGGAATATAACAACTCGTTTCAAGGAACATGTTTCACATTTTCGCAGACTCAAGCAGAAATTTTAGACGACATTGAGAGTCTGTTAAGGAGTTTGAATCTATGATCAATGATCAGCGACCAAGATTCCATTCCAAACAACACATTGTTCATTCTTCTATTTAATAGTCACCATCAGAAATCAGAAATATTAGGTTCCAGAACACATACAACGTGTGAATCGAAATACTAACACTCAATACCTAAGGTGATGATTCTTTCAGCTGAACATTATTTCACGTTAGAAGTTCCGATGCTACCATCAAAATCTCCATAAATATTTTATTCCATCCAATCAATATTTTGAAAGAGAAAATTAAAATGATAACATCCTGGCTGCACTTGTGGTACCGATGAATCCTGAAGGGACATAGAGACTGATCTAGGAGTATCGTGGAGACCTGGAGTGAACTGGGGGATATAACTGTATTGAAACGCTGATAAGTGAGTTGGACACAGATTGTCAACACCATATATAGGCCCTGAAACAGCTGTGGAGTTACCGAAATCTCTGGTATGGAACCAGAAAGGAAAGTTGGTCCCTAAGAAACATAAAGAGTGCTGGGAAAAGCTACCCTGGACCGACCGTTCGGCCGGAACAATTATAGGTCTCCTCACTAGACACTGTCCATTGACAGGACACCTGAAGAAAAAAGGCCTGTATAATGGAGACCCTAGTTGCAGGCAGTGCAACAAAGGGACAGAGACAGATCGCCATATATTGAGTGAAAGTGATGTGAATGGTCACAGGAAGCAATGAATTCAAGAAATACCTGAATTATGTCCACAAGAATATTAATCAATCCAAATCTTGGAAAAATATATATCTCCATGTACCTTATCAAATGAATAGTACCAAATAACCGGCTTTTCAATAATTGTTTGGTTCAATGCACTTTAAATCGTTCGTTTGAGCCTTTCTGAAATCTCTACGGTCTACGGTATTGAATAATTTTACGAATGTTTTCTCTTGTGTATCATTAATGTTTATTGGGTAAAACACTCAAGTATCAGACATTGCACAAGAATAATTAGTTGTGCTAGTTCTCGCGGTTGAATGCGTTTGCAGTCATGTGATATTTAATACTTGGTTATTACCTTGCACTTCATTTTATTGTGTTATTATGAAATATGGACAACTTGAGTTTATTTCCATTATTATAACCAATTTTATTATTACTGAGTTCTTGAATTTTTGAGGAGCCTTTTTTTCTCTTTCCACTTTAATTTCTTTTTCCATTTTGCATGACTATGCTTGATTTTCATTCTGATTTTTTTAATACAATAATTACCTTGTTTATAACAATTCATAACGTTGAAAAAGAAGACAAGACATAAATAACATGAATTGAAAGGGGGTTATATTTTTAGGAGAGATTAATTTTTTGGGAAAGAAAGTTTTTGGCTTTCTACTACTCCATCATGTTTCAAAAAAAATGTGGGAATCTTTCAAAGAGAAGAAGAAAGTAAATAATCAATTTGAATATGAGTAACTCTATACATGGATGTGTAGATTATACAAAGAAGTAACTTTCAGACACAAACTGAAAGAAAGTCCTCCTGAAACAGCTACTTTCATATAAACATTGAATTACACGAAAGAAAAAAAACTTCTTTCGAAACAAATACTTTTACAAGAACACTGAATTATACAGAAGATGATACTTTTCTCTACTCTGTTTGTATTCCAAACATTCCTTATGGAATGAAATTCAGATATCATTCACAGGAGTTTTATTTTAAATGAATGGTAATAAATTACACTAACATGGAACACTGTCATCCTCACTGGTATACATCGGTGTTTCGCCATAAGACATGAATTGAATATGAAGTGGAAAGTCAATGTATAGTTCTGCAAGAATACAGGTGGAATATTTTTTGAAAATTTTGTTGTTATATTCAGTAATGCGGATCTATTTGAGTCAGATAAGTACATTACGTATATCTTTTTGTTATGTGTTTCATTTTTTATAATTACGAAGTTTCATTCCGGAAGATTTTATGGATACTATCGAAGTATGGAGCAAACGTATTTTGAACATTCCCAGACTGTTTACTTCATAAAGGACGTTTGAGACTTGTATTCTCTCTTTCTATTTGTAAAAGAGGGTCAGAGGTAATAGTTTTGAATTTTTGTAATCTTCACTGCAGATGTATATTGAAAAATTGTGATAAACTATGACACACTGATTAATAGAGGATCAAATCGAAGCATTACATTTCTGAGCCTTGAGAGGCTCATTATATGATATACAAGATGTGTTTCTTAGATTTAACAACGATGTGAACTTCGCTAACTTTCGTGACCAAATCACCAATTCTTGATTCAGTTATTTGCCTTTCGAATGCAATCAGTGCATTGGCTACTACCAATAATTTCTTCATTAATAGCAATTGTGCTCTGCAGAACACAACCGATCACATAATATTATTGTGCCAGCGTGCATACAATATTTCAGTTAAACAAAGCAAGTGGTCAATTGAGTAGTATTGAATATATAGAATATAGGACCGAGAACTGACCTTTGAGGTACATCTGAAGTTAGTCCTTTAAAACTCGATCATTCATTCTCGACTGTCATCAGTTGAAACTAGTTCGATAGATAAGATTTGACACAAAATTATCGAAAGAAATGAATATTCTAGAATGAAATCTCGAAACATCAATCTCTCACAACGTAAATCTCCATACATTCTTCATACTTTTTGATTTCTGTCGGAGTATTGGTAGATGGGACGTTTCTGTCCTCTGTTTTGGGGCTTTACTCACGAGATGGAACTGTTACTAGTTAACAGATCTTTCTCATAGAGCATAGACGAATGTCGCGTTGAAATCATTCGAGTCTCAGGCTTACTATACTGTTTGGTTCAGATCTTTCCTGCACTGATGAGAGGTGATTTCAGTATGGTCCTGCTGCTGGATGAACGGCAAACACCCTACTATATGTAGGTTTTGAGACAACTTACAGAATGTCAAAATACAAGTTTATACGAGTTCTCAGTTGGGTATCTCGAATACTTATCAAATACTTACATCAGGACCAAATATCTCAATAATTTGAACAATATTATGTTTATGTTTAACATGAATCAACTTTTTTGTATTATTAGTTTTCAATGCTGACTTGTATGTTTTTCTTTCAATCATTTTATTATCTTGTTTCTGAATATTCATAACCCTGTATGTTACATATGTTGTTAAGTTTTCGGATATCCCCCCTATATTTAGTTATAATCACAAACATATGTCAGAATATATTTCGGATTTAGCAACACCCCATATCTATTTATTTCCTCGCGCATATCGTCAAGAGGACTAGTCAAAAAATTGCTTTCCGCGATGGACGAACAACGGTTTGAGTTTGACAGTACGAATGTAAACGTGCGAGCCGGTGGTGCTATCGAGTATCTAGAAGCCAAGGTGCCGATTTACTTGTGCTCCTTTCTATCCACAAAGCAATCAACCCTCTAAAGTCCACTATTCGCTGCTGATGCATCCCCTTTACCCGGAAGCTGTAGAATAAGAGCAGGCAAGGTGGAAACCTTTGACGATTGGATCCGAGATTTTGGGGATACATGCCAAACTCAATTCCGCAACATATGTAGTATATCATTTGATATTCGATTTGTCAGTTTCATCTTTTCTTGTGTAGATACACTTTCCTTGGGTAGGGGAAGAGTGAGATCCACCTCTATGTCACTCGTGGCATGGTTAGAAATCAAATCCAGCCATTTGATAGGTCCCTATTTTATTTGTTAGTATCAAGTATTTTTTTTGTCCACTTTAATGTATATTGAAACATGTAACTTACCGTATTGGTTGCTATTTTTCAGAAGTTCTCTCCTATTCTCCACTGTTTCTTCTAGTTCTCGTAAATCTGCTGCTAGAATAGCAAGAGCGAGGCACTGTTCCAGCTGCGTCTTCCTCCTGTTGAAGGTCGCCTCCAAGATCTGTCTCTTCAAGTGTAACTCATCCAGCCATCCCTGTACTTGCGATATGGCTGAAAATATTGAATGGAACAGTCTTCGAATGTAGAATGACATTTGATTCAGTTGGCACTTGGCGGGATTGGAAATAGAGACTGAGACCTGGTTAATGTGCTCTACTAACCCTAACATTCGTGTTGGCTGTTGTTCAGTATACGATCAAAAAGGTCAGTGCCAGTTGTACGATTTGGAATCCTACGTCAATTTTCAGTAATGTTTATGCAGGAATCAAAATGATGTGAAATGGAGCTATACATGATACAATCTCGTTTTATATTTTTTATAATTTTTTCGTCAGTAGTTTTTTCAAAATCGGGTAAAAAAAATTGATCGCGACGTCACTGACATTCGATATGAAATTGACAACACCGCAAATTTGGTCAAAAATGCATTTTTTTATATAATGGAGTTCTAACTATATAAAAAAATCAATTACGAGAAACTCTAGACAGATCTAAAGAACATATTTTGAAATCAGTTGACCATTCTATGGTTGCAAATATGTTTATTTGTTGTATCATTCTCAGTATGTTCTATCAATTTAAATTTTTTAACAAAACACAGGAGAATCCTCAAGGCGCTCTAAGAGCGGTGCCTGTGCGAAGGTAGTGATTCATATTGGATTTGAATTGCTGGAGATTAAATCCATTTGGAAAAACGTTCTCGGTAAGTTATTCCCACATAAACGCAGTTCTTCAAATGAAAGAGTCCTTGAACAGTGAAGTTCGAGGTGTGCTGAGTTGAACCTCAAAACGTATTTTTGATATGTACCGCTCTTGGTGGAATCAAATGTGCCAAGTCACTAGAACACCTGCCGTGAAAGTATATAGAAGAGAGACAAATCTCCAACCGTTCTTTGATGTTCCATATTAACAAGGTTGCAAGGGATATTGGCGTCTCCAATCGGGCAGATGGTTTTTTTCTGGATGGAATTCAGCAGCTTCAGGGTATGCTTAGGGGCGGAGCTCAATACATGAGAACAATATTCCAAAAAAGATCCGATCTGAGCTTTATAAAGCACCAAAAGTTGCTAAGGTTTGTAAAGTTTTCTGGTTTGGAACAGTGTTCCAAGCTTTTGGAAAGCAGCCTTTGCAATTTCAGCGACATGATTGTGTCAAGACATATTGGTGTCCATTTCAACACCCAACAAACTTATCGAAGCAGAAAGCGGAATTGTCTCTCCTGATTCTGTTCGTAGATATTTATCTTCTTGGAGACAACCCATACCTGGTTTATTTTCGATATTCTTATCAGGAGAATAAAACATGAATGATTATTGGTTGAAGATCACTTGAATAATTGTGTGTTGAACATCAGCGTTGTGTGTTGAGTCAGAATGTCAGCCACGAAAATAATATTTCTCTTTGAAACCTACGTATAGTAATGAAATTCCATGTGAAATTCGGGACTGAATGTTGATGTTTGAAATAATATAACTTAACCGATTGGACATTTAATTCAAATTCGAATCGTATTGAGTTCTTTCTCCTGTTAACATTAACAGATCAGACGAGTCTTGAAAAGAAAACCACACATTATAAAATCACATAAACACAGAAATATCAATATGAAAAAACAATGAACATGAAAACGAATGGGAAACCGATTGTATAGGGATATAACCAGCTTGTTCACTTTTGGAGGTAACTTATGAATTCATTCAAGGATTCTGATATCAGAAGCTCTCTCAGCTAAGTAACTTTCAGTGACTTGGATAATTTACTGTAGGAATAGCTTTCAGTCACAATAGGCGATTTTTCATAAAATTCATGTTTACGTTCACTTATTCATAAATTATTCTCATTTCCGTTGTTATAATCATGCTTGTCGCTATGCTTGTCGAGGTTTTCCCTGTTTGTGAAAGTATATGTGAGTAACTTCATAATGTATGAACGTAATCGTCAAAATTATTTTCTCTGCAGGAACTTTGGTAGGAAATATTGTAAATGCGCCGTATGATTCTTATTTGAAGAATGAAAATTTGTTGAGTATCCCGACCTTGTCCCCATACCACTATGCCATACGAAATAGCTGAATAGGCAAATGCATAATACACGTTTAGGAGGGATTTGCGATGTAGAACATTCTTCTGTAGAATGTTTCATTAAGTTTGCTACAGATATTGTCCATTCGTCTACACCAAGAGAGATGTTGATCAAGGACTGTACGCAGAAATTGTGTGTCACGTGATATGTTAATATAATGCCTCCAAACGATATAACTGGATTTGAAGGTGTTCTGTATTTGTTGTGGTACTCTACACAAGCACAAGCAGTCTCAATGATTGATAATTAGTTTATTTTCGAAGCACCAGCTTATGAATTCCTCAAGGATAATTTGTATTTTTTGTTTTAGTTTATTTTCGGTTATATCTGAAACAAGTATTCATGTGTCGTCGGCATACCTCAGATTTTTTTCCCATTCTATTTGATCAGGAAGATCATTTATAAAAAATTATCTACCTCCTAGTTTTGAACGTATTTTGCAATTTTTTTTGTTAGATGTTCCTCTACTCAAATTGAAGCAAGATACTCGTACATTCTCCGCAATTCCTTGTAATATATTCTATATTTGAATGAAGAAAAGATAATTGAAACTTTCTATGTTTTTTACGACTTCAATTTATAACTAACGTTACTGAAGGTTCGTCCTATAAGGACATCTTCAAACTTATACAATTAACTTTATTTATTACAAAGCGGTCTTAGCAAAAACGATTGATCATATCATTATCAAACACACTATATGGTGAATTGTATCCAGATCATTACGCAATATCATAAATGGATATTTTGAAATGACTACACAATTATAAACAAAAGTCACAAGAAAGTCAAAATGGAATGCATTGTATGTGATGAAGTTGGCCGATACTTGATGAAAATCCATAACTTATTCAAGTAACCATTTAATATGAGATTTCGTCTAGATGGTTTACAAAACCTTAACACGTGTTGCGCCAAGTGCTATACAATAGCTTGATAAAGCTATTATGCAGAGGGGCTATCGCCCCCCTACGAACAAAAACCATTTAATGTCGGAAACAATTCATCTAGGAGCAATGTGAAGTGGTTTTCCATATGAGAAACACTCACAAGAAAATTAGATACGTTTCTTTTAACCTGCAAGTATTCTCCATACATGATATGAATTTGTTACTTATCGTTGAAATCCAAACAGACTGAAATGAACAACGTATGCAGGGTCAACTTCCTGGATTTTATTTGCTCTCCGTACAATACACATGATTTTCTCATTATCTGCTTCGTCGCCACGAATTTTTTTCATGTCCTGAAATCAAAAGTCGACTTTTGTGTTCATCTATGTTTTTAGTCATTGAAAGTAGGAGACAGAAATATATTTTGCTCTTTTTCTTTAACTTTCAGTTCAGGAGCATGTTATTTTCCAATAGAGTACCTTTGGTTTCTTACGAAAAAAAAACATATGTTACATGTGACAATGTCGACATACTTCAAAAATGGACACCAATATGTCTTGGCACAATCATGCCGCTGGAATTGCGAAGGCTGCTTCTCAAAAGCATGGAACACTGTTCCGAACCAGAAAACTGTACACACTTCAGCAACTTTTGATGCTTTATGAAGCTCAGATCAGACCTTCTTTGGAGTATTATTCTCATGTATGGAGCTCCCCCCCAAACATACCCTGATACTGCTGGATTTCATCCAGAAAAGAACCATCCGCCTGATTGGAGACGGGAACATCACTTGCAAACTTGATAATCTGCACAGGCACTGCTCTAAGAGCACCTCAAGGATTTTTCTGTAGTGTTCTGTCCTTGAAAAAAAATCAAGCTACATTAAACAAATGAAAGCTGATGTTGAATCTAGCAGGTGATGAAATGACATAAATGAAAACAAACCTTACTGACCGTGTATGAATTGAAGAGTGTAACCATTGGGAATTAGACTCGGAATCAGATTCATTATATGGTTAATCAACTTTGAGCCTTTTTAGATGTATTGTTATGTTTGCTCTTGGGTGAAATGTACATATAAACGTGAGCCAATGCTCAAATCTGACTTTTTTTGGCATAAATTTCATGTATCTAAGAGAGATAGATGAAAAGATAGTGAAAGAATCTGTTTACGTTCATGCATTCTATTCAATGAGATCACTATTGTTTTTTTTCTTTGTAGAGATCGTTGAATCTGGAAAATAGTTAAAGGAGAGTTTTGCTGAGACTATTATACAGAGAAAAATCCCCAGTTTATTGAAACCAAATTATATTTCTAGACTGATAGGCTGAAAATATTCAAGACTAATTGAGTAATTTATCATCACAATGAGGAAAGATGATTACCTTTTTTTACAGAGCTTCGAATTCGATCGGGTCTCGAGTCTATAGTACCTTCTGCCCCAAGATCCTTTAGTTTTGCTAGTAGAGAATTTCCCGCTTGCAGTGCCCCCATGAGCGACTCTAGTAAAGCTCTTCGCTGCTCGTGTATTGTCGTCAGGAACTCCTTCACCACCTCTATCTCTATCGGTACTACGGTGTCTTTGCAGGAAGTCTCCAACGCGTCCATTTTTTCAAAAAATTCTTGTGCTTTCGTGTGGTAGAGGACGTTCAGGTCCAGAATATGTTTACGAAGCTCTAGGTTGGAGTTGATGTCCTTCCATGCTCTGCCGAGAGATTCTGCCATTGCTGCGTAGACTTCTGCTCTGGGTTTTTGAGTTGCTATCAGCTGGTCCGCTTGACGAAGAAGTTCTTCGACGGGGCTTTGTTTGTTCTGGAAAAGGATTGACATATGTTAAGGACCTTTTACGATAATTAAGAATGGACACGTTTGAAAGTTCAAAGTTCGCTGTGAATAACGGAAATAATGATAAATATTAATTAATTTTCATAGCTTTCTGTTGATATAGGTTGTTCTTTAGTCAGTATTCGTTTGGTTTTTACAGGCATTATATCAGCTTCACCTGTATGAATGTATGTTTGTTTGTAACTCTCAAGCTCGGGATCTGTATTGACAGAATTATCGTCATTATTGCTTAAAATATTTTGAATTCGAATGCTTTGTTTCTAGGTTCTAGTTCCGGCCAGAAAAAGGAAACAATGCTATAAGCATATCTGAATTTACGAAATAGCTAACTAGAGCTTGAATTTTGACAAGATACAGCTAAGGAGAATCTTTCCAGAGAGAGATACTATCTATGTGAATTTTAAACTTTCCATTGCGAAGTCTTCCATTTATTGTTCGAAAACTGAATATAACGCACGGAAGAAACTGAAGCATCTGATGAGGAAAAATTAAGAGTCTGAGGAAAAAGAAGCAGCGAATCACTCAACAAATGCCTTTTCACATTTTATAAAGAAACATTCTAAGCCTATACCTACCAGAATTTATGAGCACTTCCCAAAAATGTCTTTCTTTTTCTAGATATCCCGGATGAAAGAAACCAACTTTTGTTGAATATACGAATTTATAGTTTTCATGTTGTGGTAATGGCAAATACCAGTTGATGAAGTTCCATTATGGACATTTAATGTATCATTACTATAGCAACAGTTCAAAGTTATCATATATGATGTTACTTCCTTAAAAATACTGATAGTTTTCTATTTATTGAATGCAACTGAGTGAAATGCATGAATTTACCCTTATTTTCAGAAGTTAACAGTGGACTTCAGCATACAGTTTTGAGAAAAAAACTTCTTATCTTTTTATTTATTCACTTGTTCTGAAATGTCGATAACTATTCTTGGAAAAATATGCAGATCATATTCAGATGTTTCTTTCAGATACAAACAGACCCTTGTATATATACAAGTCTGTAGACTGTATCGAGAAGAGATACATAAGTATAAGCAAATAATATTTATTTCCTGCTCTGATGAGAGGTAACAATTCGAAACCGGTCTGTATTCGAATAATTTCAGTATAGTCCCGCTGCTGGATGAACAAGAAACATCTGAGAGACTAACCTCTGTGAGGTGTCTTGCATAAATATCTGTCAGATGTAATTCAATATCCAGCGTGGTATTAGCCGGGAGAGTAGTTGTTTTCCGGCAGGCATTCACCAGAACCTACTGTGTAGGTAATTCGGGAGACATGAATACTTCGAGATTTTGTTTTGAAATATTCATTAACTTCCATTTATCACATTATATTAATACTGTCTTCTCTTTGATTGATCACATTATACTTTTTTCATAAATAAAACACAAATTTTCACATTTTTTTTATGTGTTTCTTAAGGTACATACTTAAGGAACAGACCAGCCAACAAAATGTTGGCAACATGTTGATATTGGTGTGGTCAACGTGTATCAACTAGCAACTTCAGGCGACATGACATTCATGTAATTTATTGCCCATTGTTTGCATCCATGTTTTCCATTTCACATGGAGAACATCGCTCAGTCTATACGGTGTTGTCAACAAGTGGTGTCGCTAGTGACCATTTTCATTACAATCTACATCTAGCAGGTACGTTTCATGTGGATATTTTTATATGAAAAATTCTAAGAATGTAGTTCGTTGTTATTCTATTGAGCAGAAAAAATTATATGGAAATATGTACAAAAGAGCTGGTGATAGAGTTAATTAGAATGGTCGAAGCTAGTCCCGCCTTATGGATCATTGAAATTGTGGAAAGAGCTACTATGGTTCAAAAGTAAATCTGACATTAAGTTGTTGTCATAGTTGTCCAATTTGGCAAAAACTGTCTCTGACACAACTTCTTTTTCTTTTTTGGGCATGGGTAGCTATAATGTTGGAAGCAGCACTAGCACCAGCAGCAGCAGCAGTGTTCGGTTTCATTTTTGCTACAAAACTGAATTTGGTGGGACAGGCACGTAGTTTTGGTTTAGACGAACAACACTCTTGAAAATGTGTATCTGGATACAAGTTGCTATGTCCAACAAATATGATAGATAGATAGATAATTTATTGGTGTTTTATACATTCATCAGTATTTATACAAGTTAATAGATACATATTAATAAAATTAGCGTATGTTAGACATCTATTAATATTCACATTCACATCTGAGTTATGTCGACGAGCAAACTCAAAAAAAAACGGAAAAATTTTAAATTGGGTATTATGAAATAACGATAAGTGTTTATATGGTTAAAGAAATTATATTACAGTGCAGGAATTCTTCGGTGCTGAAGAAGGCGTTTATTATTAAAAAATATATCCTTATTTTGAATATGTTATTAGGTAGATATCTTATTTTTTGTGGTAATTTATGGTAATGTTTCACAGCCCAAAAATTTGGTCCATTTTGACATCTTTTTTTCATGATATAGAGAGAAGGAAAGGTTAGTATTTTAAAGGTAATGAATGAATTTCGATATTCATCTATGTAGTCGATATTGTCTAATATTCTAATTGCTTTCCGTTGGTGTCGGAATATTCTATCACAATCTGTTGCATATCCCCAAGCGACAATACTATAAGAAATAATGGATTCATACAATGAAAAATATGCCGTTCGAAGAGTTGCTTTTGAAACTTGTCTGGAGAGGTTTTTTAGTAAAAATAGATTTATCATGACTTTTTTTGATAGTTTATTTATGAGATGATCCCATTTTAACTCATTGTCAAAATGGAAATTCCCAAAAATTTCACACTACTTTGCTAATTTGAGTAATTTTCTATATTTCTTATCTAATTCGTTAGCTTTGAACCACCTTTCAGTTTGTGACTGTGCTTCAGAGAATAATATAAGTACCTCATCTAGAGTTTTAGCATTTGTTTGGATTATACTATCGTCTGTATATAAAATATATGATATCGTGTTCTTCCGATATGGTAGGTCATTAATGAAAATTATGAATAATAGAGGTCCCAAAATTGATTCTTGCGGTACACCAGTTGTAATTTTTTTCTTGTCGATAGAGAATTGCCCA